ATCAAATCCAATTCGAAGGCAATAATACTTTAACTTTTGGAGGATTTTTAAGCCTTTTAATTGCTAAAAATAAAACATTTATTAAGCGATTTAGCGAAATTTTAACCCAAGCCCAAAACGAACTTAATGGGGCTTATGTGTGAGAATGTCCGCCAGTTACCACCGCTACTTTAAATAATCCTTGGGAATTTGTGCTAATTAAAAATACAGGATTAGATACGATTAAGCATAATTGAGGCAGTTTTGACGAACACATTGCGGGCAATATTAACCCAGTGATTAGTTTTGATAACAAAAAAACCGGTGCTGATTATACTAAGTTAGTTATTCCTAATTTGATTAGAAATGCCGATGGTTCCCTACTGGATTACAAAAATTTGGCTAATTTTACCCAGTTAGCTCCTTTTGAACAACAAGCCGACTTTTGACAAGCAGTAGGCCAACAAATGCTTTTGGAGTTAAAAGATGGCAAGCCTAAATGATTATCCACTCATGGTTTAGGCGTCCACCATTTACATGTGCGAATTTGTAATAGTCCAAAATATTATACTCATGAGGAATACGAAACTCCAACTTATAAAGCTACCGAAATTCCCCCAATTTCGGAAAATAACTCCTTCCGTCCCCATGATAGCGACCAGGAAGGCAAACCAGAAAATAATAATTATGACGAGTTCCTCTCGGATTCGGAAGTAGAGGAAGAAGAAATTTCGGTGCCGCAGATTAAAGGCTGGTTAAATGATAATCATATTAATCATTTATTCCGAAAAATGTTTGCCAATTTATCTCCGGAATTACAAAACAAAGTAGTTACTTATATAGAGCCGTCCCTCACCGCTAATTTAGCGGTTGGTAAAGATAAAACAAAATTATCGGAGACTTACTTAAATTATGATTACATCTTTTTTCCTTTGAATAACACTGGTGCCGAAACCCGAGAGGGGTCCGGAACTCATTGAACTTTGCTAGTTTGAGACTTAACCCAGGAGGGAGAAAATAATTTTTATGAATATGATTCGGCCGCTCCGGCCACCGAAAACATTAGTAATTCGGCGGATAATTTAATTAAGTACCTAGAAGAGCATTTTAAATTTACCTGCACCGTCGCTATTTCGGCCGCTGGTCCACGACAAAATAACGGTTCGGATTGTGGATTTTTTTCTGTGCTTAATTCCCAGTATTTATTAGATGTTATTAATGATAATAAAAATTTTTCCGACCACTTTAAAATTTCTCCATACAATTCTAAAAAAGCTATTAAACAACTGCGAAATTATTTATATCTAGAAAATGAAAAATCCCCTCATTTAAACCTCGGGGAAGATGCCGGACGCGGAACTAGTTATGATGAAAAAGGATCTATTAGTCTTCCGTTAAGTAAAAGGATAATAGATAAATTTGAAAAGTTAACTTGCTTTACTTTTGCTCCTCATACCTCAAACGTGCTAGATAGTCATTTTATGAACCCCGTGGAAAGATACCTTAATTCGCATTTACGAAAGAAAGGTAATTTGCCGGTTTTAGGAATTACTTCCGCCGCAGAAGCCCTGGCTTTAAGCCAAAAAATAAGGATTTTAGATGATTTGCCACATTCCGCCCAAGAGACTAAAAAATTATTTCGGGAAAAGGAAGCTCTGGTCTACCAAAAATTAGAAAAAATAGTGGAAATTTTTAACAGTGTTTTGCTGAAAGTAGAAAAATATCAAACTAACGGAGGCTCGTTAATTACCCTCCCCCGAGATTCCCGCGAACCCAAAAATCACCTTTATTTAACTGATGCCGAAAAAGCAATTATTGAAGAAAATTTAAGTGTTAAATCTATTGAAGAAATTAACCGGGCATGGGATAATTTTTTCCGCAAAGTCAGTAATAATAATTGGCAGAGCAAAAATGTAGAAGAAATAAATATGAATTATGCCACCGATAATTCCACTGATTCGTCCCCTCCACTTGATCGATTTATCCCCACTGAATATAAAGAATTTAAATTTGATAATGTTAAAAAATATGAAGCAAGAGATGGAAATTGGCGTATTACCGGATTAAATGCTGAATACCAAGGTGAAGTAATTAATGAATTAATTATTCCCCAGGCTTATTTTAGGGCTGATCGACTAGAAATCATGAAAGAGACACCCAAAATTCCTCTTTCTCCCATCAACAAAAAACGAGACTGGTATACTATTTCGCTAAATGAAGAAAATATTCGCCGCGACGGCACTACTTTAACCATTTTGCCCGCTCAACTATCTTTCATTGTGCGACGAGCCGCCCTCAATAGGATTAAAGGCGAACTTAAAATACTGTTAGAAATAATGCCTTTAACGGGCTTCGACCGCGAAATTAAATATTTACTGCTTGATAAAACGGCAATTAAAAAAATCCAAGCCCATTTAGACTTAGAAATCAAGGATTTACTTTCCCAAACAACCCAGACCGGTGCTAGTGAGGAGACAAAAACACCGTGCGAACCAGGCTTCTTTTCTTGAAATAACTGAGGAAAAGAGTTTACTCTTCATGGAGTAGTAGTAGATAAGTTAGATATCCAAACCTTAGCCGGTCAACATATTTTGGGAAATTGAGTTATGCCAAAGGGAGCCCAAAACCTCTCCCTAGCGGTCAATAAACAGGCTCCGATTTTGGTGCTGAACGAAGAAAATTTTGCCACGGCGGAAATTACTAATTCCGACACGGTGGAAAGAGAGCAATTTGCTGCTTTTCAAACTATACTTAAAGAGGGTTGAGCATTGAGTAAAGAACCCCATCCTAATTTAGAGAAATTGGAAGCAAATTTTACTAAATTAAAGAGATATAAATTAGGAAACGAGACCGAAAAATGAGTCGGAGATATGTGGGATAAATGAATTCATGCTGACGGAGGAAGAGAGCCAGAATTTAAGGGTTCCGATGGATTATTAACCGCCCTAGAACAAAAATTAAAAAAAGGTCGCCTAAACTTTACCTATTTTGAAAATTGATTCAAAAATCCCACCGGTGAACCTCGCTGAAAAACTATGCAACCCTTAATTGAGACCCATCTCAACGGCGAGGGGAATTACCGAAAAAGAATAGAAAAATCCTCGGCCGAAAGATTACCCGCCGAAATCAAAAATCTTTTTAACCAAGCACTAAATTACACCTTGACTACTGCCGAAGAAATATTAACGGAAATAGCCGATGAAAATTTTGTTTATGATGAAAATAACGAAGCCAAACTGAAAAATACCCTCGGAATTTTAATGAAATTGGAAAAAACCGAAGATGCCTTTTTAAGTCCCGAAAATAAAACCACAATTAAGCAATTAACCACCTGTATGTTTGATTTGGATTTGCAATATTCTGAAGATTTGTTAAACAACAAGGAAGCAAATTTAGAGGATTACCAAACCGAAAAATTAAGCTTAGAAGATATTCTGGCTTCTGATTTTAGATATAATAAGGCCGATATAACTTCGCCAAGTGCCTGTGAAAGTTTTCAAACTTGGTTGTCAGCAAATGAGGAAAATATAAAGGAATTAATCAACGACTTGGCTAACAAAATTGCCGAGCTTGAAGACCATGCTAATATTTATACCCTTAAACATTTAGAAACCGTAATAGAAAATGCGGAGGGAACAGTTAAACAAAAAGAAATTTTTGCCGTAGTTACGGGTAGCGAGGAAAACCGAATAGAATGAAAAAAAAATGAATTAGCGTGGGAAAGCCCGTTGGTTCCCGGACAATATTACCAAATTTCGGACTCGGCCGCCGGCTTCCCAAAAAAGGTCCAAGTCATTACTAATTTAGCCGATATAGTTTCCCAAGTAGATAACATGTATTCGGCTTATATGGAGGAAGCGACCCAAAGTAGTTTTAATAAAGATGATAGCCAAAACCAAACAAAACTTTGGCAACTACAAGAAAAAAAAGCGGCTATTTATCAGGAGATTTTAGAAAAGTGAATAGCCGAATTAGGATTGACCAACTTAACCATCAACTGAACCAATAATTCTAGTAATTGAGGAGATTTTGCCCAGGCCAAGGAAATAGATACTGAACTAGCGAAAAATTTAAAAAAAAACTTAGCCCAATTAAAAACAGAAATCTTTAAGCATTTCAAACAAAGAATGGGCAATAAATTTAGCAAAAATTACCTAGAATCCTTAAACAAATGTTATTGAAATGAACTTAGTTTCCGGGAACTAGCCTGGACCGACAGGGAAAAAATTAAACAAATTAATAGCGATATAGAAAAAAAACTCGCCGAAAGCGAGGAAATTAACCCTCTCCTGCTTCCCCAGTGAGAAGAGGAAGAAAAATGATGGGCGGCCCGAAAAGCATTGGTGCCCGTCGCTAAACAAGCCAATTGGGAAATTTTAAAAGCAAACTTTTTTCACTGATTAAAATCCAGATTTGACTACCAACAAAGGCTGACCACACTTAACGAGGAATTAGAAAAAACTACTCTCTCGGCGAAAGAAAGAGAATTCTTGCAAGGAGAACAAGAACTTTTAAACAAGGGGATTAAAAAAATTAATTCTACTTATAATAAAGGAATTATAGCGGAGATAACTAATAATTATTTTATTGCCGAAGCAGAAAAAATTTATGATAAAATTGGCAATTTAAGACTAAAAAAAAGCAATTTTGACCCTGCCAAAGCGGAAAGCCAAAATTTATTGGCCGAATTTGGGCTGGTGGAAAAAAAAAATGCCTCCTCTCTCCTAGCTATCCTCAAAGACAAACTGGTTAAAAAAATATTTGCCATTGAACTTGATAGAGAAAAGATCCCCGAAATAAAAGATTACTGAGAGGTTAAACTATTAGAAAGCCCCGATACTGACAATGAGGATGCTGTATTAAACCAAACCAAATTAATAGACTTGGGAGTTTTTGTGGCTCAGAATGGTTTTGAAGATTTAAATTATGATTTAATAAATAGCCAAGTGGAAGAATTATACGCCCTAATCTCTCCTTGCTTAACTAATGAATTTCTTGGCAAATTGCCCAAAATAGGAAGATTAAAAAAGAATTTAGCCGAACTCGTTAGCCACACTTTAAAAGTTAAGGTTCTCCGCACCGCTATTCAAAGGCTTAAAGGTTACGAAATAGAGTTTAAATTTCCCGCCCAAGGCGACCTTTTTGATAAATCTTGTATGAAATGAGGAGCCGAGGATGATGATTCAGTTGATTACTGTCTGTTCCCCATAATTAAAGTTAAAAACAAGGACAGTATTTTAATTTCGGCTGAGGTAGGCAGTTTTGGCGAAACTAAATTAATTAAATTCCATAAAGAAAATGAAGACTACGGATGACTAAGTAATTTTTATGCGGGAGACAAATTAAACAAAATAGCTCTTAATTTGCCAACCGAACTAGATGAATATGGATTTGTCCTTTCTCCGCCGACAAGTGCTCTACGCCTTGAAAATGATGAATGAAAAACTAGCGAGCATCTTTACCAAGCCTTTAAATTTCTTACTACTGACCCTTTTTGAGCCAATGACATTATTAAGGCGACCACTGCCGCCCAAGCCCGAGATTTAGGAAGCGACCCCCATCACGAAAGAAGAGCGGATTGAATTGCCAACAACTATTCGCGACGAGCCATGCGCTGGGTAATTAACCAGAAATTTCGCGAAAATGAAGCATTGGCGAAAGATTTATTGGCTACCGGACACAAAATATTAATTGAAGATACTCGCGAAAAAGCCAAAGGTTATGCGGACCCTTATTTTGGTAATGATAGTTCAATTTGCCCCCCAAAATTTACAAATAGCACGGGTAAACAAGACTGATACACGGCTAATCCAGCGGCGACATTCGGAGAAAATTGACTAGGAAGAATTGAAATGGAAAGGCGTTCTTGATTAAGAATTCTACAAGCATTAAGAGACCAAGGATTAAATATAAGGCAAATTGAACCCGCACAATTCAAAGAAATAAAAATTGGTTTAATTGATAAAATTGCTAACTTAACCCAGAATTACTATGAGGAAACCGCAACCGATAATATTATTAGAGGAATTATAGAGGCCGAAAGAGAAACCATTGAGCAAATGGAAAATCTGATTAAACAAGCCACAGTATCCATAACCTCTAACCAATTATTAAGTTTATTCACCTACCAAAAGGGTAGCAACCATTATTGAAGCTTTTTCACTATTCACCAACAACTTAAAATTGAAGAATACTGAGAGCAATTAAGAACAACCGCCGAAAGCGAAAAAGCCAATTTAACCCAAAAAACTCTTAACCAAACCATAAATTTAGCAATTAGCGAAGGAAAGAAATTAATAGACCAAAAGCGAAACAAGGAGGCCATTAATGACCAATATGAGAATGATATAACCATACTTTTAAGCAAACTAGAAACAGCAAATTTCCTCACGGCGGAAAATAAGCAAACTATAAAAGAAATAAACCAAGATTTACTTAATATTCAAGATTTAATAGAAAGATTTGCGAATGAAGGATTAAACGAGTCAGAACCCGGGAAATTAAGTTTTTTAATTAAACTACTTGAAAACCTTAAAAAGGGTAAACTTGTAAATAAAAAAAGTAAATTAACTATAACTAGTCCTACCCTTAGCGAAACTATTACCGAAACACATATAGCAGAAATAGATAATTTAAGGGAACGATTAGAAAATAAACTCTGAGCAGCCATTAAAGAAGAGAAAATTGCCGAATTTATTGAGGAAACGGAAAATAATATCAAAGAAATTGTGAATTTAAGTGAAAATAAACTTAGTTTTACATTCATTTCTAAACTTGCTCCGGGTTGGAAAGAAGATATTGAACAAAGCGAAAATTACCAAGATTTTAAAGCAAGAAAATTAACTATATTAAGCACATTATTTGAACCCCAAGGTTTAGCAAACTTTTTTGGATTTTACTGACCTTGGATTGATAAAATTGATCTTGATTGCATTAACCAAAGTAGTACGAAACTTAAAGAATTTCAGCAAATATTGACTAAACTACTGCCCTTAGTTCACGAAATTCGCACAAGAAATGTTAAAGTAGTTGACCAAGGGGCAGCAGTAAAAACATGATTAGAAGAGAAAAAATTATCCGATATTGCCCAAAGAATGTTTAGTGAAGAAGTATTAAGTCTATTACTTAATTATGAAGCAAGAAAGACCGTAAGTCAAGCCTTATTAACCCTGGAAAAAATGGCACCTAATTGCAGTGAATTAACAAACATGACAAAGGGTGAAATCGAAGTTGACTACGACGACTATTTGCTGGACCCGGGCACAGAAATAGTCAGTGAAGAGTGGGAAGCAAGGAGACAAGAATTAACCGAAATCGCCGCAACTTTTAAACCAGCAA